TTCAGCCTTGGTTCCGGCTCTGTCTCGTGGCGGTCTACTCGCTCGTCTTCGGTTCTCGGCTCCAGTTGTGAGGCTGAGATCTACGCCGGGGCCATGGCTGCACAGGAGCTTCGCTGGCTCACCTACCTGCTGACTGACCTTGGAGAGCCGCCTCGTTCTCCTCCAGTGCTGTACGTAGACAACAAGGCCATGCTGGCCTTGTGTCGAGAGCAGAGACTGGAGCACAGAACGAAGCACATTGCTCTCCGCTACTTCCTTGCTCGTGAGCTGCAGCAGCGTGGTCAGTTGCGACTTGCGTACGTGGCCTCTGAGGCCAACACTGCTGATGTGTTCACCAAGGCACTCGCGCCTTGTGACCATCAGCGCTTTTGCACCCAGCTGGGTCTTGTGCCTGTCTTGCCTCACTTGCTCTCCTCTTGACTTCACTTGTACTGTGACATATATATATACCTGCTCTTGCTTGTCTAGTTTCATATATATGTCTGTACTCCTGCATGTGAACTGGCCTCTGGCCCTGCTCTTGTGCTCGGACTGTGTGGTGACTTTGTGATCCACCCTGAGCTTTATTTGCTTTGCTTTGCTTGACTGGTCTTGTGACCCCTTGTTCTCCCCCACTTTGCCTATGGGGGTGTGTCAGATTATCATAGCTGATGCATGTTTGTAGGCTATAGTGGGGTAGCACATATGGGGTACAGCTTTCTAGGGTTGTATTTGTACCCAACTCTGACTTAGTCATTTCATTCCTGTTCATTGATTCTCTCAATCCGATGTCCGTTTCCGCCGCAAAATTCGCAAAGTGTTTTGTTTTTTGCAGGACGTGAACTCGCGTCGAATTTGTCGACTTCCATGGGGTCGGCGAACGTGGTTGAAGCCGAGCGATCCCCTTGTCGTGATCCGACGACGTGGGGTCGTCGTGTCCCAGAGTTGACCAAGTCAAAACGCTATGCGGCCGATACGATTTCGCTGTAGCTGCTGCAATTCGCTGCTGCAACCTGGCGCCGAATGTCGGTTTTCAGCCCCGCGATGTAGGACTGAATTTTTTCTCCCTCGGTAATGTCGGGAATGCGATTATAAAATTCCTCCATCTGCTGCGTGTATTGCGCGACACTCTCGAATTGCCTATGGTGATGTAATTTTTCGCGCGCAATATAAGTGGAATTAATCGGCTCAAAACGTTTGAGAAGGTCTGCCCGGAACTGCTGCCACGTGGCTTCGCCCTGGAAAATGCTACTGTTGCTTCCGAGCCACTCGAGAGCTGGACCGCGCATCAACGTTGTCGCGAGACGAATTTTCTCGCCGTCGTACTCCGTCGTCGTCCATCCGATCGCCGCGAAATAAATTTCCATCGTCGCGAGCCACCGCCTGACGCCGGGTTTTCGATCGCTAGGGTCGAACGATTCCGGCGAGCGAAGATTCGGAACCTCGAACTGACGCTGCGACTGCTGCGAAGTCGTCGAAGCAGGAATGTTCATGGTCGAGAGGAGTTGCGTAACGCGCTGCAGTTCGTTTCGCATCTGCTCGTTCTCCAATCGCGACCGTTCAGTCGTCGCTCGCATCTCCGCTTCCATCTTGGCGATTTGCGCGAAGAGCTGCTGCGTAACGTCGTTGGTCGCCGGCGAACCCATCCTGTTCAAAAACCACGCGAGGGGGTTAATTCGAAAAGCGCGGAACTGGTACTTACCAGAAATCGGCGTCGAATTGGTCGCCCCCGGCGGTTTTTCGAGGCGATTTTTTCCGCGACCACTGCTTAGCCGAGAGTTGTCGAGTGAGAACGGCTCAGATTACCAAGTGTCACAGGATCGAATACTCAATCGAAAACTTGTCACTAAAACTGAATACAAGGCCTATTTATACTCAGAAAGTACAAGGATAAACGAGATAAAACGAACCTTCGGGAACACACCCTTCCCGATACTACAATCACAAGTGCGCATAAGCACGCAAGTCTATTGGCACTTGGGATTACGCCCAGATTACACCGTAAACACCACTGTCGGCGCTGTCGATGCCGTATAATAGGTATGTCGGTGGGAAAAGTAGGAAATAAGAGAAATAAATAGAAGGCTCTAGAAAATAGAATAGTAGGCCGATTGAGATGAGATAAAGACCAAAATAAAGAGGAGAAAAGGGAGAATGGGATAACGGAAAAATATAATAATGAGAAAATATTATAACGGGGACGTCCTCTCACAGTAAGGGGCCGCTAAGGGCGAGCGCGGGGCCGATCGGGGCCTCTAGGGGCGAGCGCGGGGCCGTAAGGGGCCGCTCAGGGCGAGCGCGGGGCCATTCGGGGCCTCTAGGGGCGAGCGCGGGGCCGTAAGGGGCCTCTAAGGGCGAGCGCGGGGCCGAGTGGGGCCTTGGGGTGCTCCTTGTGCTGGAGCTGCTGGTGGTGCTGGAGCTGCTGGTGAAGCTTCTGGAGCAGGTGCTGCTGGAGGTGCTGGAGTTGTGGCTGTCGAGTCTTCCGGTGGTCCGGCTGGAGCTGGAGCTGCTGGGGGTGTTGGCGCTGGAGGTGCTGCTGGCGCTGCTGCTTCAAAGGGTGCTGGAGTTGGCGCTGCTGCAACTAGGGGTACTACTGGTGCTGGTGCTGCCGCTGAGGGTGCTGGTGCTGTCCCTGCTAGCTCGGGAGGCGCTGTGCGGCCACGACCGTACTTCATTCCGCTCCTTGAGCAGGTTCTTCGTCTCCCGCCTTCTCTTGGTCTTGCTCCTTCCTTAAAGTGTCCGCCACCTGTCCAGTCTGAGTCGCAGCTACAGCCCGCCTCCCCACTGCCTGCTCCCTCTCCCTACACCAGTCCTACTAGAGGTCTTGCTGAGCGTCGTGCGCCTGCGTCTCGTCCTACGTCGCCTGTTCGTGCTGCTCGCACTAGTAGTTGTGTTTCGCATCCGCGTCCTCCTGCGGTCCCAGGCACACACCAGATGGCACTGCGTCCTTCCACTGCTCCACTGCGTGTCCCGTTGCCGTCTCCTCCAGAGTCCTCTCTTCCTGCTCTTGCGAACCCGGCGTCTGACTCTCTTCGTGCTGCCAGTCCTACTGTCACGCGTCTTCTGGCTACTGTTATCACTGACCCTTCCTATGCGTCCACTGCTACGTCTGCCCTAGTTGCTGAGCTTGTCGACTTTGCTGCTCGCTGTCGTCTAGACTACGCCGCTAGTCTCGTTGCTGAGTCAGAGTTTGTCTTTCCTCCGTCCGTCGGGGGTGAGTGTGCTCTTAGCACGGACGTCCTTGAGGACAGGCAGGAGAAGTTCCAGTGTTTTGCTACTGCTTTGCCTCATCTCGTGTCCATGCTGATTGCCCCTGAGGGAGACCCGGATGCACCAGACATCCCGACTCCTCGATCGTACGCTGAGGCGATCGAGGGTCCCTACTCCTCACAGTGGCAGCCAGCCATGGACGCAGAGATGGCTTCTTGGAAGTCCACAGGCACCTACGTCGACGAGGTTCCCCCACCTGGGGCGAACATCATCAGTGGCATGTGGATTTTCAGGGTGAAGCGGCCGCCGGGTTCTCCGCCTGTCTTGAAGGCGCGTTACGTGGCTCGAGGCTTCAGTCAGCGGCAGGGAGTTGACTACTTTCAAACCTTCTCTCCCACCACGAAGATGACCACTCTTCGGGTGCTGCTGCACATAGCCGCTCAGCGCGACTACGAGCTTCACTCTCTTGACTTCAGCACTGCTTTCTTGCTGGGCAGCCTGCACGAGGAGATCTGGCTACGCCGTCCACCTGGCTTCACAAGGTCGTTTCCTCTTGGTACCCAGTGGAGCCTCCGGCGGCCAGTCTACGGTCTCCACCAGGCGCCTCGTGAGTGGCACGATACACTGAGGACTACACTTGCGGCTCTTGGGTTTGCTCCTTCTACTGCCGACCCGTCGCTGTTTCTGCGCACCGACACCTCTTAGCCGCCGTTCTACATCCTCGTGTACGTCCATGACTTGGTCTTTGCCAGCGGTCGTCACAGGGTTACACCTTCAGCCTTGGTTCCGGCTCTGTTTCGTGGCGGTCTACCCGCTCGTCTTCTGTTCTCGGCTCCAGCTGTGAGGCTGAGATCTACGCCCGGGCCATGGCTGCACAGGAGTTACGCTGGCTCACCTACCTGCTGACCGACCTAGGAGAGCCGCCTCGTTTTTCTCCAGTTCTGTACGTAGACAACAAGGCCATGCTGGCCTTGTGTCGGGAGCACAGAACGAAGCACATTGCTCTTCGCTACTTCCTTGCTCGTGAGCTGCAGCAGCGTGGTCAGCTGCGCCTTGCTTACGTGGCCTCTTAGGCCAACACTGCTGATATCTTTACCAAGGCACTTCCGCCTTGTGATCATCAGCCCTTTTGTACGATGCTAGGTCTTGTGCCTACTTGGCCTCACTTGCTCACTAATTGACCTTGCTTGTACTGTGATCTATCTATACCTGCACTTGCTTGTTTACCTTTATATATAATCTTGCATGTGAACTGGTCTTGTGGCCTTGAACTTGTGCTCGGAATGTGTGGTGACGTTATGATCCACCCTGAGCTTACTGTGCTTTGCTAGGCTGGTCTTGTGACCTCTTGATCTCCCCCACTTTGCCTATGGGGGTGTGTCAAACATATATGCTATAGTCTGTGTAGGCTGTAGTGGGGTAGACAATATGGGGTACAACATTTTTAGGTTTTCCTACTTGTACCCACTGTGAAAAGAGTAAGCAGGAATGAATGAACTATGAATGAAAGCAGTACAAATATGAAACCCTAACTGGGTTGTACCCCCTATGGGATACCCCACTACAGCCTACACAGCAGTATAAGCTATAGATATGTTCTGACACACCCCCATAGGCAAAGTGGGGGAGAACAAGGGGTCACAAGACCAGTCAAGCAAGACAAAGCAAAGCTCAGGGTGGATCACAAAGTCACCACACAGTCCGAGCACAAGAGCAAGGCCAAAGGCCAGTTCACAAGCAAGAGTACAGACATATATATAAAGCTAGACAAGCAAGAGCAGGTATATATATATGTCACAGTACAAGTGAAGTCAAGAGGAGAGCAAGTGAGGCAAGACAGGCACAAGACCCAGCTGGGTGCAGAAGCGCTGATGGTCACAAGGCGCAAGTGCCTTGGTGAACACATCAGCAGTGTTGGCCTCAGAGGCCACGTACGCAAGTCGCAACTGACCACGCTGCTGCAGCTCACGAGCAAGGAAGTAGCGGAGAGCAATGTGCTTCGTTCTGTGCTCCAAGCGCTGCTCTCGACACAAGGCCAGCATAGCCTTGTTGTCTACGTACAGCACTGGAGGAGAACGAGGCGGCTCTCCAAGGTCAGTCAGCAGGTAGGTGAGCCAGCGAAGCTCCTGTTGAGCCATGGCCCCGGCGTAGATCTCAGCCTCACAACTGGAGCCGAGAACCGAAGACGAGCGAGTAGACCGCCACGAGACAGAGCCGGAACCAAGGCTGAAGGTGTAACCCTGTGACGACCGCTGCGTAGCCTGGTCGTCAGCCCAAGAAGCGTCCGCGTGGCCGGTAAGGACCACTGGACTCCGCCCTCCAAGCACTAGCCCCATGCCTGACGTACTGCACAGGTAGCGCAATACCCTCTTCGCTGCAGCCATGTGCTCCGGTCTGTGTCTCCCAGGAGCAACATAGCGTGCAAGAATGCTCAGAGGGTATGCAAGGTCAGGTCGTGTGCAGGTCATCAGGTACATGAGGCAGCCAACAAGCTCCGCATACGGACCACTCGACTCTACGGACTCATCCGAAGGCAGAGCTGAGAGTGAGTGGCGAGTAGGCAGAGGAGTGGCCTGAGGCGAGGAGTACGTGAAGCCGAAGCGCTGAAGGACCTGCTGCACCATGTGTGACTGAGTCAAGGTAATGGTGCGGCGTGCTCTGTCCCGAGTGATCTGCAAGCCAAGGTAGCTGCGCAGTTCACCCAGGTCTGTGCACGTGTGTCTCTTCAACAGCTCGGACTTCACGTAGGCGAGTCCAGCAGTGTCCGCTGTGGCAAAGACCAGGTCGTCGACGTACACGAGGATGTAGAACGGCGGCAGGGAAGTGTCGGTGCGAAGAAACAGCGACGGGTCAGCAGTAGAAGGAGCAAACCCAAGAGCCGCAAGCGTAGTCCTCAGTGTGTCGTGCCACTCACGCGGTGCCTGGCGGAGACCGTAGACTGGCCGTCGGAGGCTCCACTGGGTGCCAGGAGGGAAAGTCCCAGTGAAGCCAGGTGGACGGCGAAGCCAGATCTCCTCGTGCAGGCTACCCTGCAAGAACGCAGTGCTGAAGTCGAGAGAGTGAAGCTCGTAGTCGCGCTGAGCGGCTATGTGCAGCAGCACCCGAAGAGTAGTCATCTTCGGGGTGGGAGAGAAGGTCTGAAAGTAGTCAACTCCCTGCCGCTGACTGAAGCCACGAGCAACGTACCGTGCCTTGAAGACAGGTGGAGAGCCCGGCGGCCGCTTCACCCTGAAGATCCACATGCCACTGACGATGTTCGCCCCAGGAGGGGGAACCGCGTCAACGTAGGTGCCTGTGGACTTCCAGGAAGCCATCTCTGCATCCATAGCTGCCTGCCACTGAGAGGAGTAGGGACCCTCTACGGCCTCCGCGTAAGAACGCGGAGTCGGGATGTCTAGTGCATCCGGGTCTCCCTCAGGGGCAAGCAGTACAGACGCGAGATGAGGTGAAGCAGCCGCTAGACACTGTAACTCCTCCTGCCTGTCCTCTAGGACGTCCGTGCCAAGAGCACACTCACCCCCGACGGACGGAGGACAGACAGACGCAGACTCAGCAACAAGACTAGCAGCGTAGTCGAGACGACAGCGAGCAGCAAAGTCGACGAGCTCAGCGACTAGAGCAGACGCAGCAGTGGACTCAAAAGAGGGGTCAGTGACGACAGTAGCAAGCAGACGCGTGACAGTGGGACTGGCAGCACGAAGAGAGTCCGACTCAGGGTCCGCAAGCGCAGGAAGAGAGGACTCAGGAGGAGAAGGCAAAGGGGCACGCAGAGGAGCAGTGGACGGACGTAAAGACATCCGGTGCGTGCCAGGGACAGGAGGAGGACGCTGACGCGAACTGCGACCACTAGCGCGAGCAGCACGAACAGGCGACGCGGGACGAGACGCAGGCTCACGACGCTCAGCAAGACCTCCAGTAGGACCAGTGTAAGGAGAGGGAGCAGGCAGTGGAGAGGAAGGCTCCAGTAGGGGCTGCGACTGGACAGGCGGTGGACCCTCTACTGGAGGAGAAAGACCAAGAACCTGCTGAAGGAGCGGAACGAAGTACGGCCGAGGCCGCGCGGCAGCTCCAGACTCAGCAGGGACAGCACCAGCACCCTCAGCGACAGCACCAGCGCCACCCACACCTCCAGCGGCAGGACCAACAGCAGCAGGCTCAGCACGAACGCCCTCAGCAGCTCCAGCTCCAGGAGGACCTGCAGGGCCAGCAGCTCCGGGACCGGCTGCACCCGCACCCTCGACGGTCGAAGAAGCTCCAGCTCCAGCTCCAGCAGCACCTCCAGACTCAGCAGCACGCCTCCAGCGGCGAGCGAACCACTCGCGCAGCTCCAGACGCAGCACCCCCAGGCTCAGCAGCTCCAGACGCAGCACCCCCAGGCTCAGCAGCTCCAGACGCAGCACCCCCAGGCTCAGCAGCTCCCAGCTCAGCACCCCCAGGCTCAGCAGCTCCCGACCCAGCACCCCCAGACCCAGCACCTCCAGGTACAGCACCCCCCGGCTCAGCACCCCCAGGCTCCGCACCCTCCGCAGTAGCACCCTCAGGCCCAGCACCCCCAGCAGTAGCACCCCCAGGCTCAGCACCCCCGCGCACAGCACCCCCAGAGTCAGCACCCCCAGGTTCAGCACCCGCAGCAGCACCAGAGTCACCAGTAACCTCGACCGGGTCAACGGCGTCTACCTGGGACACACCTGAGGGGGCAGGAACCTGAGGGGGGAGGGGGTCTACCGGGGGGGGAACCGGCACAAGGAAGTCCGGGGGAGGGGGGAGGGAAGGAGTGCGGTAGGGGAAGAGACGGTAGAAGGGGACTGACTCGTCGAACGTGTCGTCCTGGGAGGACAGAACACGACGAGAGGAGGGGTGGTAAAACTGCCACCCTGGGGCGTCAGTGGGGAAGCCAAGGAAGACACAGGGAGCAGCACGAGGGGACAGCTTGTCCGCAGACAAGTCGCGGACAAACGCCCGAGATCCCCAGACACGGAACACAGACGCATCGCCAACCTTCCCCGTCCACAGCAAGGCTGGGGACATCGCTGGCCGAGAGACCCGGGGGTGAAGGTTGAGCTGATGCGCCGCGTACCTCACCGCAAACGGCCACAGAAAATGGGGGGCAGCCGCATGCATCATGGACGTACGAGCGACATCCATGACCATGCCAATGCGGCGCTCAGCAATCCCATTTTGCTGTGGTGAGTCCGGAAGCGTGAAGGTCTGGCGGATCCCCCGTGCACGACAGTAGTCTCGCAGAAGGCAAGAAGAGAACTCTCCGCCTCTGTCAGAGTGCAGACGCAGAACAGGAAAGTCCGAGCCGAAGCTCTTCCTGAGCTGGAGACGAGCCTCGCGGATCCAGTCGATCAGCACCTCAGTGACCGCACCCTTGCTGCGCAAGGGGAGGACTGTGGTGTAACGCGAGTAGTCGTCAACCACCAACAGGAAGTAGCGCTCGTAACCCTGCCCACGGACGGGGGCTGGGCCCCACACATCCATGTGAAGCGTCTGCAGGGGAGCCTCTGTCGGGGGGAAGTGGGAGGAGTGAGGAGTAGCCCGGAGGCGACCCTCGACACAGGGGACACAGGAAGGTCCTGGCCCGGAGGGGAGAGGAGGGAGAGACTGGGGAAGACCAGAGACAAGGACACGGGAAGCCATGCTCCGAAGACGGGGCAAGGAGGGGTGGCCAAGACGGTGGTGCCACAGGAGAGTCTCGTGAGACAGGAGGCGACAAGAACAGGGGGCAGACTCAGGACCTGACCGGGACGCAGCAGCAAGTACCTGACCCGACGCAGCCACCTGACCAGACGCAGGGACAGGAGGAGACTCAACGGTCAGGGTGTAGAGACTCGACCCCGGCCGACGTGAGAACGTGGCCAGGTGTCGGCCTGTGCGAGCCTCCGTGCAGTGGGTCACCCTCTGACGCGCAGGAGTGAACTGGTGAACACCCCCATCCTGCAGGTCCGCTCCACTCACCAAGTTCGTAGAGAACGAGGGAAGGTACAGACCCGACAGGGTGCCCGAAGGGGCAGCCGGACACGGGAGGACAGTGGAGAAGTGAGACAGGACAGGACCCCCAGAGGGGTCAGCAAGGGAGACCGCAACCGGCCTGGCGAGCGGCGAAAGGGTAGTGCGGTCTCGAAAGAAGGAGCGAGAAGCTCCGGAGTCAAGTGTGAAAGTGAGGGAGGACGAGGACGACTCAGTACCTGAGAGCGCAGTCTCACCAGTACCTGAGAGCGCAGACGCACTGGCACCTAGAGCAGCAGCCTCACAAGCACCTAGCGCAGCAGTACCAATGCCCGGGTCGGGCTGAAAACACCGGTAACCCTCATTCTCCTCACTATAATCCACAACATACATAGCAGTAAGGATAGCATCAAAATCAAGATCAAAGATCGCTACACCAGCCCTGAGAAGCTCATCCCAGCGAGGGATCTCACTAGCCCCAGGGAACTGCTGACGCCAAGCGTCCGTCAGGCGGCCAAAGCAGCGCTGGGTGGCGTGGGCACCCCCACACTGCTCACCCGCGCGGTCGCCGGAACGAAGAACGTAGGTGCAGGGACCAGTACCCCCACCCCTCTGACGCCCAGCGTACCACTCACGAAGCTGCTGAGGCGAAGGGATGTCCGCGAGCGCTGCTGCTGCTGCCGGTGCGAGCGCTGGCCACCACCACCGCCGCTACGCTGCTGGGTACCACCCCGACCAGCTCCACCTCCTCCACCACTACTGCCTCCTCCGCTGCCGCCTCCACTGCCTCCACCTCCGCCGCTGCCTCCACCACCACTGCTGGCACCACCACCACCGTCTCCGCCGCTGCTGCCGCCACCACCACCACCACCCCCGCCACTAGCCCCGCCGCCACCCCCACTCCCTCCGCCGCCACCGCCGCCACCGCCACCGCCCCCTCCAGCTCCACCCGCGCCCTTGCCCCCCTTGCCCTTGCTGGAGCGACGTCTCCCACTAGGGGCAGACGCCGCGCCGACCGACTCAAGACCAAGCAGGTCGGCAGCAGCAGCAGAGGCAACAGAGGGCAGCAAGGGGGAAGGAGAGCACCCCTCAAAGATGGGGGTGCGAGGGTCACCACGAGAAGCACCTACAGCGACTATGCTCTTCTCCGCTGCAAGGAGGGCCTTCTCGAGGAGGTCGACGGTGAGAGTGGTGGGACAGACTGCGAGAAAGTGGTCCCTGACGACGCGAAGGGAGTCAGGGAGGCGTGCGACTACGTAGTAGAGAGCGATGTACATGGGGGGGGGTTCTTAGCGCAGAACTCAGCAGGAAGGGCGGCGCGGTAGCGAGTGTCACTAGTGCGGAGGTGCGTAATAAGGTCAGCGACAGTGGGAAAGGCAGAGAGGTCAGGAAAGAGGTAGGGAAGCATGAGACGGCTCAGTGCAGCAGTGGCAGGGGAGGAGTAGCGCGCAACTACAGCGTCGTACAAGGTCTGAGCACTCTTGTACTGACTAAAGTGCGCACGCTCAGAGGTAGGGAGGTGGCGACGCACAGCAAGACGTGCAGCAGCATCGCGGGTGGCCCACTTAGAGCGGACAGCGGGATCAGCATCAGCAGCAGGGGCAGGAGAGGCGCCAGAGGTGAGGTCAAAGAGAGAAAGGTCGTCAGCCCTGTCGCACTGTAAGAACAGCTGCAGGTCGTCTAACCAGACCTCAAAATCAATGGCGCGACCCTCAGCGTCAAAAGCTAGGACACTAGGGGTAGCCATGACGACGACTGTGAAGCAGTGCAAGCAGTAGGGGGGAGAGCATGCAGTGACAGTGGGACTGTGCTCACCAGGCAGGGCAGGTCGCGCAGCTCGACAGAAAAGCAGAACGGCGACCGGGCGGCTCAGGTGTACAGCGGCTCGGCTCCCGGGCGGCTCGGCGGCAGGGCGGCTCGGGTGCAGGGCGGCTCGGCTCCCGGGCGGCTCGGCTGCAGGGCGGCTCGGGTGCAGGGCGGCTCGGCTCCCGGGCGGCTCGGCTGCAGGGCGGCTCGGGTCCCGGGCGGCTCGGCTCCCGGGCGGCTCGGCTGCAGGGCGGCTCGGGTCCCGGGCGGCTCGGTGACAGGCGGCTCGGGTCGCGTAGAAGTGAGACGGGGCGGGGCCGCGTCAGGGCCGGCGGTAGGGCCGCGTAGGAGCCGGGGCAGGGCCGCGAAGGAGCCGGGGCGGGGCTGTGATAGGAGGCGGGGCAGGGCCGTGTAGGAGGCCGGCGGTGTGGCCGCGTAAGGGCCGCGTAAGGGCCGCGTAAGGGGCCGGTGCGGGGCCGCGTAAGGGCCGCGTAGGAGCCGGCGCGGAGCCGCGTAGTGGCCGGGGACGGGGCCACGAAAGGGCCGGGGCTGGGCCGCGTACGGAGCCGGCGAGGGGCCGCGTAGGAGCCGGCGGCGTGGCCTCGTAAGGGCCGCGTAAGGGCAGCGTAAGGGGCCGGCGCGTAAGGGCCGCGTAAGGGCCGGGGCGGGGCCGCGTAAGGGCCGCGTAAGGGCCGCGTAAGGGGCTGGCGTGGGGCCGCGTAAGGGCCGCGTAAGGGCCGGGGCGGGGCCGCGTAAGGAGCAGGCGGCGGGGCCGCGTAAGGAGCAGGGCGGGGCCGCGACAGAGTGGGCGGCGAGGCCGCAGAGGAGAGAGCGACTCGAGGGGTCGCTAAAAAAAAATTCGCGCCTCGGGGGCGCGCTTCGGTGGGCCCAAAAAATTTCGGTCCTGGAGGGACCTAGCTCTATACCATGTGAAAAGAGTAAGCAGGAATGAATGAACTATGAATGAAAGCAGTACAAATATGAAACCCTAACTGGGTTGTACCCCCTATGGGATACCCCACTACAGCCTACACAGCAGTATAAGCTATAGATATGTTCTGACACCCACCTGTTTTCTAGTGCATTCATTCCTCATTCTTTCACACTATGCGCCGAAATTCACGCTGAACAGCAAGACATGGACCTGCAAGAGGAGCGACACAAGAGGAAAACGTAAGTACCTGAATTTGCGTTTCACCCTCAACGGCGCTACAACAACAACAACAACCGGCATCAACGAAAACTTGTACCTCCGTTCTGTCATCTTTGCAAGACGTCATGTCATCCCCAAAAATGTTAAGAGTTTTCGGCTGCATGGTACAGTACCGACCCCCATCTGCACGAGCCGGCCAAATTCTCCCAACGCGCACAGTGGGGACTACACCTGGGCATCGAAAGAAATTACAACGCGTGGAAGATTTTCGACGTCCACTCCAAAGAAACTGTAGCAGCACGTGATATCATTTTCTACGAACGACTCACCCCTTCCGACGTACCTTGCCAACCTGGAAGAAGATCGGGACCCCACAGGTGGTTTCCGTGGTGACCGAGCCTTTGCCTCGGCAGCAGACGAAGCTGACTGGGACAAGCAGAACGTGGATGAAGCCTCAAAGGAAGCTGGACCTCTCCCTTACTGCTCCGTCGACGTCCCAATGGATGACGAAAATCCTCGCGACAGCACCAACGCCGAAGTATTTTACCACTTCGCCGACACCGGTTACGTTACACCTGCAAGAGTCAACACCAACGAAGCGGAACGCATAGGGCCCAACTTTATACCTGACCCAGAAGCAGGTGACGAAGCACCTTATCCTGAGGATACAACACTCCCCCGCTACACACTGAGTGGACTCCAGATACTTGGCCTCGTCACCGCGGTTCATGGCACAGCCATTCCTAAGGAGCCTGCCACGGTTCAGCAGGCTCTGGGGGGGGAGCATAGGGAAAATGGCGTGAAGCCATGGACAAGGAACTGAAAGCACTGGAGGAACGCAACACCTGCAAAGTCGTTCCCATCGGCGTGGCACGAAACAAGGCAGTACTCACCGGGAAATGGGTCTTCCGTGTGAAGACAAAGGCAGACAGCACCATCGACAAGTTTAAGGCACGCTGGGTCGTACGCGGCTTCGACCAAGAGCACGGACGCGACTTCACCGAGACATTCGCCCCGGTCAGCCGACACACCTCACTACGAATTCTCCTCACGATCGCCGCCATGAAGAAGAAGAAACTACGGCAAATCGACGTCTCCAACGCATTCCTTTACGCACCTGTTGGCGCCGAAATCTTCGTCGAACTCCCACACGGCTCCCACGGAGAGCCTAACCAAGTCTGTCAGCTGCTAAAATCCCTGTACGGCATCAAACAAGCTCCAAGGCTGTGGTAGCAGTATCTGCACGCAAGACTCATTCGCATTGGATTCCGCCAACTACCTCACGACCAAGGCATGTATCAGCTCACAAAGGGCACCGACTACATCCTACTGATCGTCTACGTGGACAATTTGCTCTACATCGGCTCGACCGACAACGTCACTACCTGGTTCGAAGGGGAGCTACAGAAGGATCTCACGCTCACGGTCTCGTCCACCGTCACGCAGTATCTCGGCCTCAACATTCAGGAAGAAGAAGGCGCAATCTACCTCAACGCCGCGAAATATGCCGACACTATCGCCAAACGCTTCGGACTCACTCCGATCACCATCTCCACGCCTTACCGCTACACCGCAGGGAATCACAAGGAAAGTTCCGCTCTGCTCAAGCCCGCAGGCATACGCGACTACCAGAAAAAGCTAGGCTGCCTCCTCTTCGCAGCTGTCACCTGCCGCCCGGACCTATCGTACTCCGCAAGTCAGCTCGCGACCTACCTCAAGAAACCTGAAGCAGAACACATGGCGGAACTCGACCGCGCTCTCCACTACCTCGTCAGCACCCCGACCGTCGGCTTAACCTACCACAAGAACGGAACTACAATTCCTAAACTAATCGGCTACGTCGACGTTGATCACGCCGGCGACTCGGACAAAAGACGCTCGTGCACCGCCTACATCTATCGCCTCGAACCTATCGGACCCATCTCGTGGCAGTCAAGCAAGTAGGAGTTAATCGCCCTCTCTTCAGCTGAAGCATAATATATCGCACTCTGCTCAGCCACCAAGGAAGGACTGTACCTCCGCGAACTTCTGGAGGAGGCGAAGCTGGCTCAGTTACCCAGCTTCTCCCTGTTCTGCAACAACCAGTTGGCTATTCGCATAGCCAACAAAAATGGATTCGCGAACAGGACGAAGCATATCGCCCTGCGATATTTCTTCGTGAAAGACGAGATCGAGAAGGGGAGACTCGAATTATCCTACTGCCCCACGTCCGAGATGGCAGCTGATTACTCGACCAAGAAACTCGAAAAACAGAAGTTTGAGTACAGCATGCTGTTGACTGGTCAGAGCCACGTCACCAGCAGCGACACTCCAGAAGCGAAGGGGAGTGTTGGAAACAATTAACTTAAGCGCCTCTGTCGTGTCGAAACACCAAGTCAGAAGCGAAGCGAAACATATCAAAGCATTAGCGAGTCAACCCTCGGAGGTTGAACAACTACTGGAGGTTATGCGAAAGTCAAAGGTCAGTGACCTTTGACCTTAACAGTACAACGCGACAGCAAGGACAAACAACTGACTCGCTATGGAGCAGTTGCCCGAGTCGTCACTGTGTCGAACCGCAACATCAACAGCAAAACAGTTATTAATTATAAGCCTTCATATTCCCTTGTACTCTTATAAAAGCTTGTATCTCTTTATTTTAATCAATCTATTTTGCCCTCACATACGAGCGCAAGGTGGTTCACAAACTTCGCAAGGTGGTACTTCCACTATTACATTGTCCTACTCAGAATTTAGTCCTCCAAAGATCATAAGGGCTTTCCTCAGCCCAACAACCAGATGCTAGCCGGGGAGCTCCCACAACTTTAGCCGTTCTTCCATCCTCGCTCAGCTTCACCTTCTGGCCTTCCTGGATAGCGCTCTGGTAGCTGCAAAAACAGCCTCATGATTAGAGCTGGGGTAATGACATGAATGATTACACCATGTACGAACGTTTTTTTGAGAGTGACGAAGGTGTGAAGAAACGTTCTTAGTAGGAAGGCATAGAAGCCATAGTGAGTTCAGTAGTAGAGATCGAGCTCGAGTGAGTAGGGTTAGGAGAGTCGAGAAAGTTTCAACAAAGAGGGGTTTCACTATAGAGCGAGCAGTACAAATAGGCAAGATGAAAGGTGTACCACCACAACAGAACATTATATAACTACAGTAGTCTACACTACAGGCAGTTACAAAACAATATATAGGTTTATATATTATTCTGACACGCCCCCATAAGTGCCTGTAGGGAAGAATATGCAGTCAACGCCCCCATAATGGGGTACACCAAACAGGCCGCAGCGGAAATCATAGCAACAGGCAAGTGCAGTGACAACAGGTGCAGTGATGACAGATCCAGCTGTACCAGCCCCTTTACCAAGGTAAAAACAGTAGGAGGTGGTGGGGCGGCAGGTCGCCTGAGGAGCAGGCTCTGTGGCTGCAACATGCAGCAGGACAGTAGCGGCTTGACGGCAGCACCTGCAGGCCCCAGCACAAGGTAGCAAAAAACAGAGACAACAAAAAAAGGTAGGTGGTAGCAGGGGCGGCAGCTGGAGGTGCCACGGCAGCAGCTGGCGTCAGCAGCAGATGACCGGCTGACTTCCGTCGCCCCCTCACTCCCCCCCCCCACAGCGGCACGTGCGGCAGTGAGAGAGAGAGGAGGGGCGGCAGCTTCTTGCTCACACCCGCCTCCCCAAAGCCTCCCCCCCACACTGTTGCACGTGCAGTAGCGAACAGAGGGGCGTCAACCACCCTCGCGCCTCCCCCTCCCCCCCCTCCACACCGTCGTCCACAGTGGAAGAAAACGGCAGCGGGCT